CTAAACACTGTCACTATTACTAGTATTAAATTAGCATCTACAAGAAGTGTGTAAAATTACACTTCAAATCACTTTATATTATACAGGGCTACCGCTGGCGTTCGCCACGTTCGCAAAATGCAATGAATAAATAACAGTGGCGACTTTACTACACTAAGTAGTGATTACAATTGGCGAAAGATTTAACTGCTCACAAAATTGAATATTGAAATCGTCAAATTGCAGTGTCATGTCGTAAAATGTTTTCGTACACCTCTTTTCCCATACCCATCACCAGTTTATGCGCTTGTCATATGATAAAGTGAACAGTGGCTATAGTTTTTAGGCCGTGGCTACACGACCGGTTCCGGACGTGGAGCTGCTAGGCTACGCGTCCGGACATCCATCTCACACAGTGACGCTCTGCTGATTGCATAAATATACAATATATGCACTGCTGCCATCTATCCTTTTATCCGTCCTCTCTCGCTCTCTCACACACACCTCTAGCTCTCTCTCTCTCTCTCTCTCTCTCTCTCTCTCTCTCACTCTCACTCTCACACACGTACACCTCTAGCTCTCTCTCTCTCTCACACATACCTCTAGCTCTCTCTCTCTCTCACACACACCTCTAGCTCTCTCTCTCTCTCTCTCACACGCGCGCGCGTGCACACACACCTCTTGCTCTCTCTCTCTCACGCATACACACACACATACACATTCCCTTTCTCTCTCTCTCTCTCTCTCACGCACAGACACACACACTCGGCAATCAGCAGAGCGTCACTGTGTGAGATGGATGTCCGGACGCATAGCCTAGCGGCTCCTCGTCCGGAACCGGTCGCGTAGCCACGACCTAACAACTATAGCCACTGTTCACTTTATCATATGACAAGCGCATAAACTGGTGATGGGTATGGGAAAAGAGGTGTACGAAAACATTTTACGACATGACGATTTCAGTATTCAATTTTGTGAGCAGTTAAATCTTTCGCCAATTGTAATCACTACTTAGTGTAGTAAAGTCGCCACTGTTATTTATTCATTGCATTTTGCGAATGTGGCGAATGCCAGCGGTAGCCCTGTATAATATAAAGTGAATTGAAGTGTGATTTCACACACTTCTTGTAGATGCTAATTTAATACTAGTAATAGTGACAGTGTTTAGGTTTGTCATTTAATTATTTGCTAATCAATCAAATGAAATTCATTGAACATATAGGTCCTATTGAGTCTGAAAGTGAGAAGCTGTGTTACTTGGTTGACTAACTAGAAGCAACATGTTCAATATTTGAATTTTTATTAACAGAAACAGCTGTCAAGCAAATTGGAAGACAATCTGTGATCAGTGGCTTCAGGAGGCAACTGAGGAGTGCTGCGCATTCAGGAGTGGTGTCAACACAACAGCCTATCACAATCTCAAAAGAAGAACAGACAGATTTGTATGGTAGGTAGTACATATTAAACATGGTAGGTAGTACATATT